TTAATTTCCCAAAGTTCTAACTTCTGTTTTATCGATATCATAAAAGGATTAGTCCCTCTAGACTTCTATGACTGTATCTTTAAGTTTCTCAACAACAAACAAATAACTCTTTTCCTCCTGTTAATGGTTTATCATCACGTCTTTGAACAAGCTTCATCCATATGGAATGACCGCAATATCATTATGCAGAATGTGGAAACACAGATGAATATCACAATTACCTCCAAAAAAGATAACTTTACTTCTACAGGATTTCCTTCTTCTTCTTCCTCTCGTCTTCTTTCTCCCCTTCCTTTATTTCCTCCTTTAGATACAAAAAGCATTGGTCAGATTTTTGGCTAGGTAGCTACCAGGCTTCCTGTACTGGATGGTTGATTCTATTTAAAATTATTTTTGGGTAGAGTAGTCTGGAATGGTGCAAGGTTGTCTTTGATTTAGTATAGTTTTATATTAGATAGAAGTTTTCGTAAATTTTCTATTTTGTTTTTTATTTTGTATAAAATTTTCTTCAAATTAATAAAGATTTTGCGAAACTACCGCACGTTAAAAAAAATCAGACAGGTTGATTTAAGTTGATTTTTGGCTGATTGATAATTATGTCTGATTGACAGATGATTGATAGATGATTTATCACATGTCTGATTTTTTTGATTTCAACCAGTGCTACAATATGATGCACAATCACCTGTTATTGACCTAGCACCAACTGGAGTTATAGTATTCAACATTTATGGCATAACGATCCATTCAGCTTTGTCAATTCTGATATCTACTAACAATCTCGATTTAAATGGTGAAGGCTGAAAAAATTACAGAAAAAATTAGGAGGAGTAAAATATTTAATTATTGACGAAAAAAGTATGATGAGTTATTGTATGCTTGCCTTAATTGATATGTGACTACGTCAAGCCTTCTTCTGAAAAGTCTATAAGCTCGATATTATTCAACGACAGTCAGGAGATTCTGATGAATAACGTAACTTCAGAGTCATATTATTACAGTTACGTGATGGTGAATCTACAATAGATGATTGGAAAATGTTTACCTCACGATTTACTGATCATTTAAATGTATCACTTACGGACTTCTTGGATGCTACATGTATCTTACCTCAAAAGTCAGATATTGCTGAATTCAACATTAATAAGCTCAGATCTTTAAACTGCCCTGTTGCTATAATCAATGCCATACATATGGGTGGTAGCGAAGTATATAAGACTGATTCAGATACGGCAAAAGGACTTGAATCTCAATTATTATTGGCAAGGGATGTAAGGGTCATACTCAAAGTGAATTTATTGATAGAATCTGGTCTGGTCAATAGTTCAGTTGACACTATTCAAGAAATTGTATTTAAAAACAACCAGTTCCCCTTCGCTTCTTATCGTTATTCTAATAGAATTCGAAAACTATTATGGACTGGCTATTGTAACTGCAGAAGGTAAAAAACTTGTTCCTATTTCTCTAATGAGATACATCTAGGAAGGAAAAAGAGGAACTTGCTCACAATTGCAAATTCCAATTTGCCTTATTTAGGCTATAACGGTTCATAAAAGTCAAGTGCTAATTTTGCAAAAGGCTATAATGGAGCTTGGGAAAAAAGTGTTTGCTGCTGGACTTTCTATTGTGGTAATTTCACAGGGTTGTATTCTCCAAAATATTCTTTTTAGACCATTTTCATTTGAAAAACTGCAGCGTATTAAGACTTATAAAAGACTATAAGAGAGATTGACCAAAGAGAGACGTGTAATTTCTATGATACTGCAAGTTGTGACAGATAATGATCAGATAACAAGATGAAAATAAAATACTTTTTTAATTCTAATACAACTTTTGTTAAAATTCCTAAAATAATTTTTTTCTATCAATTTTATCTAAATGTTAATTTAATAACGTATTTGTGGCTTATAGATTATTTTGATTAAAGTTATATTACTGCAAATCATATAAGTTTTAAACACTTCGAATGCTCTAACGGTTTCTGTTACCTAATTTTACTAATAAAATTATTATGAAGCTGAGATAGTGGTTATTACTAAGATTTCTTAGTAAAACTGAAGCTGTGATAGCGGTTATTACTAAATTGTCTTAGTAAAACTGAAGCTGTGATGGTGGTTATTACTAAATTGTCTTAGTAAACTGAAACTGCAATGGTAGTTATTACTAAGTTTTCTTAGTAAAACTGAAACTGCGAAGTTATTTTACTAAGTTTAATAGTAAAAATTTACCTGTTACTAAACTTACTTTGTAAAAGCTATCTTTGAAATTTTTTAGTGCAATTACTAATAATTTTCTTAATTAAAACTTAGAATATCTTTATTTTAATATATCATTATAAAAATTAAAAAAATTTTATATTCAATTCAATTCAATTTAATCAATTTGATTTGATTTGATTTGATTTGACAAATACTTGATTCAATTCGATTTGAAAAAATCAAATCAAATTCAAATTGCTTAAATATTTAATTTGATTTGATTTTAAGGAACTCTAGTTGTATTAACTTAATGTGTAGTCACTGAAACGTAATCTCTGAAATATCCAGAAATTACTTATGTACAATTGAGAATAAGTTTTGAAGTTTACTACGAATCTTCATTGTGATTCTCTGATTATTAATATTTGTGAATTTTATTTGAGTTACAAATTGGACATAACAGCGCTGTATCTTTGAGTTTTTTTCAATGTCATAATTCAGTTAAATAATAATAGGATAGTTCCAGATGCTAGTAAATTACAAGATGATCAAAACAGATCAGAAATTCAAAAAAAAAATGGAAACTCTGTATTATCTATAATAACTGATTAGCAAAAACTAAAAAAAAAATATCATATTCTAACTTATAATGCAGTATTTATTTTGTATGATTTAAAACTATATTGTAATATAATTACTATCACTATTTTCAGAACTTCCCTGGGATCACAAAATTATCATACAACTAAGCTACAATTATTTATTAATTTAATCACTTCATTTTGAACTCTAATAAAAGATGTTTTGTTATTATATGGGATGAATACTGGAAAATGAATCAAATTGATTTTTTTTTTTAAAAAAAAGTTCCTAAGTAAAATAGATGTAAATTTAAATTGCTTAAATATTTGATTTGATTTGATTTTGAGAAACCCTATTGCCAATACATTAAGAAAGATGATTCAATTTGTAAGAAAAAGTGCTAACATGCTTCAGGATATGCTAGATATTATAAAGTCTATCCTAAAAAAATATATCTTATCTGTAATAAACTAACTTATTCTCATACCAAAATCTGTAGAATATATAGTGAAATTTATAATATTGTCTAATGTAAGAGCAATAATACTAAAATAGAATCAATCCTTTTAGAATCATTTAATATACAGTAAACTCTTGATATAATGAATTCTAAGATATGGATATCAACTTCGTTATAAGCTTATAACAAATTTTTTAAAGAATTTAATTGGCTAGTTCACTATAGCAAGATAATTTTAATATATTTGATTTAAAAATTCGCTATATCAAGGGTTCGTTATATCAAGGTTTGACTGTAATCAAAATACTTAGTTGAATAATAATCTAGAGATTAGAAACCTTTTTTTCCTTATTTTATAGAATCAAAGAGATTTTAAAATATTTCATCTAATTTATATGGTAAAAGTTCTGGAATACCTTTATTCCCAAAACCAGTACTATTATATAGCTAATAATTAAATTGGTATAAGTATTGCCAAATTTGTTATCCTTTAGGTTCTATTCTTTTTTATATCACTTTTAACAGTATATTTACACCAATTATTAGCAATTGCATTAATTACTTTTATAACCAATTTAAGATCTAGTATTTCCTTTGCATAAGACTTAAAGCTAAAGAATAATGATTGATTTCAGATTTCTATAAATCTTTTACATGATTGAGCAAATACTTTTGAAATAATATTATCTAAAAGAATACATATATCATTGATATCAGTAAAGCCTAGTATTTAAAAAATTTTCTGTATCACTTTTCAATATTTAAATAAATATACCTTTTGTAAATCAATTGAAAATGGATGTAAAAAATTGTGTGATTCCTTTCACTTTATAGCTTTTTTAGTTTTTAACCCTTCTAAAACTTTTATTGCATTTGAACCTTATTTTCAGAAATATGCCAGTCTTTTAAAATATCATAAAGGTTCAGGATTATTAAATTTTTTTACAAAATTAGCATTGCAAAGATTAATTCATTTAGTATCATTCATATTTCAGTTTCAATTATTATTCTTACCTTCAATATCTTCTGAAACATATATTCTTCACAAATAATATGAGGTGATTTCAGATGTATTAGCTATTAATTTTGCATTAGAACTTTTGATATTTTTTTTAACTATCTTAATAATATTAGAAACTATTTTTCTATCAGCTATAGTACCTTCTAAGAAATAATCTCAAGTAAAGTTTCTGTACTAGAAACAAGACTGAAGAAAATTTTGGAAAAGTATTTAGCTGATAAGCATCTTTGATATTCAGCCTCAATATATATTTCAACTACTAGAAATGCATCAAGGCATAATAATCAGTGATTTTATCTTATTCCTGATGTTTTTTTACTACTATTGGTAAATCAATAGATCTTAAAACAGAAAGTCTAGCACTAATAAGATTATGATTTAGCTCTTAAAATACTTTGAAGAAATTTTTACTATTATATAAAGAAATAATATGTTGTGAATAATCCCAAATTCAATAAAGACACTGTACAATATTTTGATATATACTTCTATTTTAATATTACTAGTACATATAATAGTATCAAAATGATTAGGAATTTCAAAAAAAATACTAACTTCTAAAGTATTAGTGCAAATCACACAGTTAAGAGAACTTCAGATAGCATTAATATTAGTGAAATCCTCTTGTCATTATATTCTGTCTATTTGGCTAAAATAAATATGTATTAAAATAGGTAAATCATCTGGTTTTTATAATGATAAAACTTTGTTTACCAAAGTTTGGACTTTTTACATAATATTATTGTAAAGTAACATGCTTATCTTTTTGAAGCATATTAAAACCTCTTCTTATAACCTTTGAACCTTTATCAGAATCATAAAGAATCTTAATAGTTTTGCTTATATATAGTTGATATTTATTATAAAAAATTTGTATATTATTATTTTGATATTGTTTTAAGAAAGCTATAGTGAAGTCATTTGCAAAAGCATCCATAGCAACAATATGGATAGTTGACTTTAGTAAATCTCATATAGAATTTTTAGTATGAATTCTACTAGATATTTAACACATAATTGTATTGATTTTATCTAAAATAGCTACATATAGATGCCTTTTGTGAAGCTTAATATGATATGTATTTTCAATCTGAATGATAATAATATCCTAATTACTTATAGTTAAACTATCTTTAACTTTTTAATATTAGCATATATAAAGTCTAAACACTGTAATATTTCAACTGTAACTTTAGTCTCATTGCTAAGAGTTTTCAATATGAAATCCTGCTAAAGTAAGGCAAATCTTCTCTATTTCCTAAAGAGTTAAGAATTTCTCTTAAAACTTTATTTTACCAGTACTTACAGGAGAATGAATAATATACTACATATAAAACTTAAGAAGTCTGAATAAATTTCTGAAGCCTCTTCCATTTTTTTTTACATTAATATTTTTTCTAGACAATTTAGGAAATAAACATATATTTTTATAATATTAATTGATCTTTCATTCAATTCCCATTTAGGTCTTTCTTGGCTTGATTATATTTAATACTTCTTCAAATGCTAATCTTCTATGATCTGATTTATATTGTTTTTACTGATAACATTTAAGTACAAAGCATCTATCATTTCAAAAAAGTCATATAATTGATTCTTTTCATGTTTGATTTTACAAATAGAACATATTTATATGATTTTGCTTAAAAGTTAATAAATTCTTTCCTAATATTTAAACCTTAAGCCATTCATATTTTACAATAACTAAATCAGCTTTCTTACTTATGGTAGTTTCATTTTTAATAGGTTGGAATCTTCTAGCTTCTTAGGAGAAAAAGATTTCAAAAGTATTTTTAGACTGAACTAAATAATCTTCTAGTTCATAATACCTTTTCTTAATTGAAAAATCGCAGGTTTTTTAACTTTATTTTCTTTTGTTGATCCAAGAAATCAAATACTGAAACATAATTTATAAAAATCTATATCAATGAATTTTAAGTATATTTTCCCAACTTTTTCAGTAACTTTTTTTACAAAACCTTTAAGATTACTATAATCAATAAAACATGCATAATTATATATAATATGCTAACTGCATTTATTAGCATTAGATGACAAAATCATTTAAAGTTATGAGATATTTTAAATCAGAATATAAGATATCAGCACAAGCAATTAAGATTCTAGATAATAAATCTTCACAAGTAATTTTATTTTCATTTAAGAAGAGGAATTCAAGGTTCATTAGATCAGACTTCTACCTTGTATTAATATTAAGAACTAGGTAAAAAGATAAATTTTTATCAATGCATTTATGAGTATTAGATAATCTATAAACTTCAGATAAGTAATTAATAATTATAATTCCTTTATCTGCTATCCAAATTATATATTTATCAAAAATTTCATTAGGATGATAGGTATTTAAAAACGCTATTATATTATCATTACTATTAGACAAATATTGAAAATATGTAAGATCATTAGAATTCTGTTTCAGCTCAAAATCAAGATCTGCTAAATCAGAGAAGAACTTAATTGCTTTATTATTTTACTGGAATTAGGCCCATTTTTTTTTGCACAAGTAACATGAAAATAATATGACAATAAAGTATAAAATTACATAGAGAATTGAAAACTTTAAATAAAAAAACCATATTCACTAAAATTTACCATTAAACTATTGGGTTAATGGTAGTATCCAAAAGTAATTGATATAGTAGTACTTAAAAATAATCAATATGATAGTATTCAAAACTAATTAATATAGTAATAATTTAAAATAATCAGGCATAGGCAGGGTTGGGAATTTTGTATGTACTAGATAAAATTACCACTGTACTTGTACTGTACTTGTACTAATTTTTATATTAATTATTATAATGTACTAACTGTACTAACTATACTAATCATTGTACTAACACTGTACTTCCCAATCTTGGGCATAGGAATACAATAAAATAGCAACTATATAAGAAAGAGTTCTAGAAAGGTAGTGGTGTAAAATAAGAAATAGATTTGGTAGTATCTAAAGGTAAAATTATAAAAAAAGTAAATAAGAAATTATGCTTTTGGATACTACCAATGATAGACAAAAAGAGATCAGAAAGGTAAAAAACTCAGGAGAATACAAGAAAGAAGAATATAAAAGCTATAAAGCTTAAACTAATATAGCATTTCATGTTTCATTTTAGTAATCAAATAAGCTATAAAGGCAGAATTGCAAGAATAGCATAATATTAGTACTTTGTGTATCTCATTCAAAAATCAAGAAGATAGTGAAAAATTGTAATTCATTTTTGACAAATGGTAGAATTGCAAATTTCGCACTTCGTATCTCATTTGGCAATCAAGAAATGACAATAAAGAGGAAAATATATGAATTGCAAATTCAGCACTTCATGTCATAATCTGATAATTATATAAAAATATAAAAGTAGAATTGCAAGTAAGTTTAACATTAATTCCTAACAAGACAAATACAAAGATCAATCTTATTACTTTCGATTCTCAAACCATCTGATCCTTCAGTTAGAATTAATAAATTAGTAGAACTATTCTAGCTTTCTGCTAGTTTTTCACTATGACACTACTATGACACTACTATGATAGTGAGTTGGATCATCAAATCATATACCCTAAAGATCAGCCAGAATTATAGTATAGTGTTAGTTAAAATTAATTGCAAATTTATTGCACTATCTGATGCATTTTTTATATTATCTTAACACCTTAAAGGGTCATTAAAGATGTATAAAAAAAACTATTTTCAACACATTAACAGATGGCTAAACAAACCTAGAAGCAGGTAAAAAAATGTGTTTTATAATTTCACTTCATAAAGTAACAATTCTGATGAATTCATAATTTCACTTTATGAAATATCAATACTGATGACTTTATAATTTTACTTTATGAAGTATCAATTCTGGCTACTTCATAAAGTTAGATTGATAAGTTACTTTCATAACCTAATGCAAGTCACTAATAATTCTTTAATATAATTAGATTAAAGAGTTACTGACAATTAGAATTATCCTAAATAATAATAAGAAAAAAGAAAAAAAATAAAAATTTACATTAAAATCATATCTAAATAATTAGTTTAGTTTTAGAATAAGAGTTTTTCTTAAAAAAAATAAAAAGAAAGAAAAAGATAAAAAATCTATTTAAAATCATTTTTTACTAAAAAAAAATAAGATAAAAATATTTTCAGAACATTTTAAAAGTTTAAGAATAATTTATTATAAATGTTTCAAATTAATAATATTATATCATTTAACTAAAATAATTTTTATTATTCTTTTTATATAATTTATATCATTTTTCAAAATAATAATTTGATTGTTTTTTAATAATAATAATAAAATTGTTTAAAAGAAATAATAGTTTAATTGTTTCTTAAAAATGATTACAAATTGTTTAATAGAAATAATAGTTTAATTATTACTTAAGAATTATAATAAAATTATTTTAAAAAAATTTATTATTTAATTGTTATTTATGATAAAAAAATTGCTTAAATAATAATGTATTGTTTTTTTTAAAATGATAAAAAGATATAATTCTAAAAGAAAAATAATTGTTCTTTTAAAATGATAATATATTATTTTAAAAATTATTCTAAAAAAATGATGATATATTATTTCTAAGAATAATAATAAAAAATAATAAAATATATTTACAAATAAGAATAAATTATTTTAAAAAAATAATAAAAATAATTATTCTAAATAAATAATTATATAATATTTTAAATGAATAATAAAAAATAATTATGTTAAAAGAATAATATTATATTGTTTTTTTAAGACAATTTGTATTATCTTTTGAGAATAATTATATTGTTACTTTAGAAATAATTTTTATTCATTTTTTTTGAATAATTTCTAGTATTATTTTAGAATAATTATTTATTTAATTTGAATGTTAGTATAATTTTTATAAAAATCAGTTTAACTGATTATAATCAGTAAATTACAGTTAATTTGTTATAATTTTTATACTAAATTTTGAATTTAACTAAAATTTTACTGAATAATATAATTAAATATATAACAAAAGATCTTAATGCTAAAATAATGTTAAAGCATATAGAAGATTTGCTAGGAAAATGTGACTCTGAGTATTTTTTATTAAAATTTTAATTTTTATTGCATTTTAATTTTTGATAATATTAGATTAAAATGCAATAAAAATTAAAATTTTAATAAAAAATACTCAGAGTCACATTTTTCTAGCAAACTTTTCATATGCAATATAATAAATAACTATTAAATTTTGTAACTCAAACTATTTTTGCCAAATAATATGATTGAATTGGCTGAATGTTTACTAAAAAATCATATCATTGAAATAATGCTAAATTATATATAATATGGAAGGCAGTCAGTAAAAAAGAAGAAAATCTAAAATTTTTGTTAATTTTTATTATTAAGCCAAATTTGTGCACATGATCGAGATTAGCCAAGTGATCTAATAATATAAATTTTGACTAAAATTTAGATTTTGCCCTTTTCTATTAACCACCTCCCATATGATAAAATTTGTAACTCAAATTGGATTTTTACTAATTCATATGATCAAATTAGCTAAAAAGTTCTAACATTAAAAGTAATAATTTAAACTAATGATTATATTAAATTTTTGATAATTTAATAAGTTTAAAATTATTTATTTATATTAGTATTATTGTAATAAAAAGAATAAAATAATATGAAAATATAATAATTTATATTAAAAACAGAAATTTTAAATAAAACTAAATAATTTTATTTTGCTAAAATATTTAAAACTTTAAATAGAATAAAATAACATAAAAATTTTTTAAATAAAATTATAAAATTAATTCAAAATTTTTAATAAAATTCATAATTAAAAACTTTATTAACTAATTAATTAATCTATATATCATATTAATAAAATATGATAAGTAGTAATCTAAAACTAGATTATCTTATAAGTTTAAAGTTTTTAATTATATATAAAAATAAAAATTTATATTTTAATTTAAATAATTTAAATAAAAAACCATTAAAATATATTTAATCTTTTCTAATCTTTTAAATTAAATAAAATTTTTAAACAAGTATTTTTAAAATATTAATATAAAATTTACATAAAATAAAATATTAATTTAATAAATTATTATTGATTTTAATTATATAATTAATTTTTTATGATATACTATTTAAATGATTTTCTTTTCAAAATCAATTATTTTACCTTTTTTATTCAATAAATTCTGCATTTTGCTTTTTAAATAAAAAAAGATATTTACTTTTACAGCTATTTTCATAATTCCTGAACCATTAATATTGAGACTGAAAATATTTTATAATAAAATTACTATAAAATATTGTACTGACTATGATTGAAAAATTATTTATGGTTCAGAAATGCTCCGAGACCCAGACGCTAATTCTTGATTGGGTAACTCTAACAGCGCTTGCTGTTGTTGATGGGCTTCATGATGAACCTTCGTGTGTACGAGGACCGGATCCAGACATAGGCGCCAATTTTTCCTGTTGCTGATTTATTTCTTAGTGCGCTTGCTGTTGTAGTTGACGAAGTTGTTCAAACTTTAAATCCATTTATTTGTAAGATCATTAAGAATTTTATTTTTATCTTGCATCTCTGTTTCAATATCTTTAAGAAGATCAAGGTAGCAGGTTTTTTTCAGTTTCATCGCTAATAATATCTTCTCTCTAGAAAAATAATAACGTGTTATTTTCTAATAGATCTAAATGCACTGATAAAGGTCCTCAAGTGCGAATTAAGCAGATTTGCTTACTATAATGCATTCCTAAACGTGATCGTTCCGATTGGACCTGTTATGAATAAGATTGCACTGAAATATTATTGGGTATATAGTATGGTTTTGAATGTATGTATAATAGTTTTTATTTATACACGTATAGCAATAGAAGCCACAAGTATGGAATTTCTTATGAAAAACCATACATGTATGGTTTTTAAGGTATACATACCATACAAAAAGAATTATACTATACATACATTCTCATTGTTTAATACATAAAGAAATAATTTATTGGTAAATAACATTCACTTTATTACTAAATTGAAATTTTATATAATGTAATAAGAATTGAGCTTTTCAATAAATATTATGATTTTGACTGTACATACAAGTATTTTTAACGAGTTATCCAACTTCTATAGTTAAATAATCAAAATAATACGAAAATGATCAAGTGACAAATCAGAAGAAAAAGTATCAGGAGACGTGAACGATTGACTCTTTATTTTATGATTGAAAGTGAATGTTTGATTCAGAAAATATCAAGGATGTTCAGAAAAGCTGCGACTATTCGAAAAAGTTAGCCAATCCAATTTATACTTTTATGAATTAAGATTAACTTCAGGAATAAAAATATTATTAACGAATCATTATATAATAAAGTTTTATTATTGAAAAACAGGAATATACTTTTTATAACTATTATTTTCAATTTTTATATGATTACTAGTTTCTATCGGAACCAATCAGCGAAAAGCAACGCTTTTGCTCCGCCAAACTACTATATATGTAACATCTAATCACAAGATCGTCAAGTAATAAGGTAAATACCTTTCTCACTTCAAGTTTTATGTTCGTTGTTAAAATGGCTGCTGAATCAGACTCAGAATTAAAGAATTCGAAAAAGCAGATAAAGAACAAACAACGCCGAAAAAAGAAAAAGAGGTCACAAATTAAACCTGAAGGCGCTCAAGACAGATTAGAAAATGATACGGTTGGAAATGGAAACGACAAGGTGATTATTTAATACTTTTAATTTCGATTAAAAAAACAAATATATATATACTTCTTTAACTTTCTAAAATCGTCCTACATTTGACTTTAAATCGTAAACTATGCTACAATAAAATTATTTCATCCAACTTATATGACGAAAAAGATTTCAGACATCGAAGACGAGGAAAAAGTGGAAATTGAGTATGTATTACAACCTCTGGATGTATCTAACGATCCTTACTTTGAAGAATTCTCAAAGGTTTTTGCCCATTTTCAGATCGCCAATAACGAGTCTGAGGTATCGTGTTCTCAGTAAATGTTTCTATATTTAAATATTTTATACGGTAATCGAAAGCATGATTTTTTTTGAAAGGATAGCATTTACTAAAGAACTTGGATAATGGTATAGGCACAGCCAGAAGTTAAAGAAGAAGAAAAAGATGAGATTATTAAGTCTCAAGTCGATACAAAGGCAAAGGGTTCAGATGTAGAATCTGACATGGAAACTGAAGAAGATAAACAGGATAAGGTGTCAAAGAAGAAACTAAAAAAGCTGGCTCGATTAAGTGTTGCACAATTGAAACAGTTAGTAAAAAGACCAGAAGTCGTTGAGGTACAGATTGTTTTCTTTTACTTATTAAAGCAAAGTATGGATTTTTATATTAATTCAATATATATATATATATATTTTTTAGTGGGTGGACGTAACAGCAGCAGATCCTAAACTTTTAGTTAGCCTTAAAGCTTACCGAAATACGGTTCCAGTTCCACAACACTGGTCTCAAAAAAGAAAATATCTTCAAGGAAAAAGGGGAATAGAAAAACCTGCCTTTGATTTGCCTGGTATATATTTTGCTGATTATTTATTATGTATCGTTTATAATTAGACTAATATAAAATTTTATTAATTTAGAATTTATCAAGGATACTGGTATAATGGAAATGCGTGAGGCTGTTAAAGAAAAAGAAGATGCTGCCAAATTGAAGCAAAAGACACGTGAACGTGTACAACCTAAAATGGGAAAACTGGATATCGATTATCAGAAATTGCATGATGCTTTTTTCAGATTTCAGTCCAAACCTAAGTTAACGATCCACGGGGAATTGTGAGTCTAGTTTGATTTGAAAAGTCTCCATGTTAGGGTAAGGGTTTATTGATTTATATTGTGTATATTGTTAAGGTACTACGAAGGCAAAGAATTTGAGACGAAGCTTAAAGAAAAAAAACCGGGACAACTTTCAGAAGAATTGAAAGCGGCCTTGAATATGCCACCACTTGCTCCTCCTCCATGGTTAATTGCAATGCAGCGTTACGGGCCTCCACCTAGTTATCCCAATTTGAAAATTCCTGGGTTGAATGCACCGATTCCAGAAGGGTATATAATTTAATCTTTTTTTTTTTGTACTAATTAATGAAAATGTGTAATTAATTTGTTTTATTTTTTTAAAAAAATAAATAGGGCTCAATGGGGATTCCATCCTGGTGGTTGGGGCAAACCTCCTGTAGACGAGGTAAATTTTATATATTTATCGAGAACATTTAAATAAATATTAACATTTATATTTTTTACAGTATAACCGCCCTTTATATGGCGATGTCTTCGGAACATACCAGCAAGAAATCCCTTCTGATGTAAATTTTTTTTTTTTTTTGGTTTATTTTTTAAAAATTATCTGGTTTTTAAATTATATTTAAATTTATATAGATTGTTCAACCAATTGAACGATCATTATGGGGTGAACTAGAGTTCGAAGAAGAAGGTAAGGGGGATATATGTATATTTATTTGTTGGATTAATAAATATTATTCTAAATGTAAAATTTACCATATAATAAATAGAATCAGAAGAGGAGGAAGAGGAGGAGGAAGAAGAAATTCCAGAAGATGAGTCTGCTGCTTCTAAAGCATTACAAGAAGGTCTGGTTACTCCCAGTGGCTTGTCAAGTGTACCAAGTGGCTTAGAAACTCCTGAATATATTGAGTTGAGGAAATTCCAAAACACCTCGACTTCTATTACAAATACGACAAGCATAGCAAGTGGTTTAGAAACACCAAATTTTATTGAATTAAGAAAATATCAAAAGTACGCGTTTGATTATCCAAATATAATATGATTATGATTTTCAAATTTTGTTTAACAACCGATTTTTTTTTTGTACAGGAGTGAAGAGGATGAGCCTAAACAATTATATACAGTGCTTCCACAAAAGGAAGCGTCGATTTCTGGATTTATGGGATCACAACATGTATATGATATTTCATCATCAGCAGCAACAACTGCGGGATCAACAACAAAAGGAACTAAGGTAAATTAAGATATTCAACTGACGTTTGTAACTTTGACTAACAATAATGTTTTAATTGTTATAGCGAAAAGCAGTAGGTGCTGGTGTTGATGTAGCTTTGGATCCTTCAGAGATGGCTAATCTCGACGAAGAGACTCTAAGAGCCAAATTTGAAGAAGCTCAACAGGTTAGTGAATTTTTTTTTTAATTGCTTTTTATTAAGGTAAATTTTTTTTATTAATATGCTATATTTTTAGGCCACTCTACCTGAAGGAGCACATGAAGATTTTTCTGATATGGTCGCCGAACATGCAAGTAAACAAGCAAAGAAAAGACAAAAGGTTGCAGATTCACGAGCAGCAGCAAGGGATACTGGTTCTGGTGGAAGCTCGGGAACCAAGAAATATAAGGAATTCAAGTTTTAATCAAATTTACAAACTTGTTTTTTTTTTAATTAAAAATTTACATGCAAAGTGGATAACTTACAATAGATATATATAACAATATAAAATGATCATCAATGATAAGTAAAAAGATTGATTATTTACAAATTGAATTGATAATAAATATATAAATATATAAATAAAACAAATTAACATTCCTTAAGATGATTAATTTATAACGTTTTCAATAATACCATCTCATTATGAAAAATATCTTTAGGTTTATCATCTTCAGGTTTATCTTCACCGAAATGTTTGGCATCTTCACTAAATTTATGATTTAAAGAAAATTTCCAAATTTCTTTAGCATTTTCCCAATCTATCGAAACTTGATAACCACGTTTATAAAATATATTATAAAATCTTTTGTAATCACGAGAATCTAGATATAAACGTAATTTTGATGATACAGGATAAATTTGTTCTTCAGGATTCCATCTAAAAGAAAAAGAATAAAAGGCAATTAAATATTGAAATGTTCGATGTAATATCAAATGAAACAACTTACATTTCTATTTCATCATTTCGATTTTTTACATGGCCATTGCAAAATGCCCAAGATACAGCCGATAAACCATGAATCCTCAAATCATCTGCTAACGAATCTACAAAAAAAAAAAAATTCTAGTAAATCCTCGTAATAACGCGATATAACATAAATTGAATTGAATTAGTTACCACATAAACAATCAAAATAAGCTTGAAAAGCCGGATTGAGGAAAGTATAATGTAGCATGTGATATACGTATGCATTATGAAAATGTTCAGGAACATTAGTGAGACCATCCCAACCTATAAAGCAAGGAATCAGTAAAATCGAGTTAAAATGAACAAATGAAAAATGAAAGAACAGACAAAATACCTTTGTGAACAGCCATACTTATCAACAAATTACCAGCTTTTTTACCAAGTCTTAAACCGGGATGATTTTGACCTGGAAATTGAGGTTTATCCTTGGAAAATTCACTTCGTGGGTCTAAATAAAGAAAGTGAGAAATAAACAAATCACAATATGAAGTAATCTAATATAATAGCATTACCTTGCATACAAATCCATTCGATTAAACTTAATAAATATTTATCGTTTAATTGATGTTCCATAAATTTATAAATTTCCGAGGCACCAAAACCATCAACATATTTAATCTTTTCAATTTGTTTATCTTTAAACTTTTCATTATGGAAAGATTCGATCCTTCTTAAAAGTTGATAAGTTTTAAAATCACTTAAAATGAATTCTTTTTTTCTTACAAATAAATCAATTAAAAATTGACCATTATAATTTTTAATCATAGAATTGGAAAACAATGATTTGTCCGTTACACACAATTTATGTACAAAATAATCGGAAGTGTCAAGATTAACGATAATGTCTTTGTATCCTCTTGCTTCTAATTCTTTTTTTATACCATATTTATCAAGTCCATAATAAATTTCTTTTAAAGAATAATCTCCTAAAAATTTGTCTGTTATAGGTGCAAATAAATCATCATCCGTTAATGCAAATGATGGCAATTCATATGCATGTGTTATTTGTTGTAAACTGTTAATAATTTGAAGTGAATTTATTGAAGAATGTACTCTTTCGCTTATATTTTCTACGAGTTCTTTTAGATAATGATTGGTTTTTGTTGTAATGTTCTTTACTATTGTGGTGCCATCATCTATTGAAGATGGTGTTTCTTCTTGAGGAATTTGGATTTTTTGTTTTATTATTTGTTCAGACATTTTTTTTTTTTTTAAATAAGTTTAAGGAATAATTTTTTCGCGTTTGAAATTTATTTATTTATTTAAATATTTTTTTCGCGTCTCGTTGTTTATAAGGAAAAATCATGAGATACTATCACTATTTATATCATGCTATAATTCAAACCTCACGAGTTGTAATTTACAGAATCAAAAAAAATAAATTGTCTTCTAAGCCAAATTGAGGTTTTTAATACGGCATAATCAACAAAAATTTACATCACGTCTTCCTTGGCAAAGGCCACTCCCATGCGTACATGTCAATGATTTACATGATGACACCTTTGATCATCGATAAAAAAATAATGGGATGATTTTTTTTATCAAAAAAATATATTCCTTCCTTTTTACTACCTATGGAGCAAATTCCAATAATAGATTTTTCATTCTTTAATATCGATCAAGTTGGTTGCTCTAAAGAAATCAAGAGAGCAAGTGAAACTATAGGATTTTTTTATTTAAAAAATCATGGAATTCCACAAGACGATATTGATAAAATGTTTCAAAATGCAAGTAAAAAATAATAAAAAAAACTCCTTTAATTTAATAACTGCGCTAATAGATGTTATTTTTTTTATCTTTAGGCAAAAGAATTCTTTGATTTATCAAAAGAGGATAAATTAAAATATCCAGTAAATGAAAATTATAGTGGTTATGTTTCCATTCATCAGGAAATGCTTGATCCATCAAACCAAAAAATCGGTGATTGGAAAGAGTTATGTTATTCTTTGGAAAATTTTACTCGAAGCATAGAAACTTTTATTGAATAAGTTCATTTTGTAAATGTAGATGTTTCAATTTCGGTAAATTACATGACGGAAAGCCGAGATCACAAAAATTACCTCCATATTTCGAAGGGAAAAGTGAATTTATCATTAAATTCGAAAAGGTTTCTATCATTAAAAAATTCAATCCAATCTTTCATTTCCAATCAATTTAGCTAAAAGAATCCTATTTTATTCAGAAATGTCATCAGTTATGTATGAAAATCTTGCAAGCTTATGCTATAGCTTTAGAAATACCACAAGAAGAAGGCGGTAAGAATTGGTTTGAGCAAAGACACAAATATGAAAATGAATCCGGTGATACATTAAGGATATTACATTATCCTCCTATCAAACATAACATTGATGAGCAAGATATTCGCGCGGGAAGGTAATAAAAGATATCTCATATTTTTTTCAATCATGTATCAGGAATTAATTTATCGTCATCATTTACTGCGTAGTCACACGGATTACGGTTCCCTGACAATTTTATTTCAAAAAGATATCGGAGGTTTAGAGATAGAATTACCTTTGACAAAACAATGGATCTCTGCTCCTGTGATTAATGAATGCGTATTGATTAATATAGCAGATTTATTAGAATATTGGTCGAAAGGATTATTTAAATCGACCAAACATCGTGTTGTATTTAATGATGATACTTTGATGAAGGATAGATATAGCATAGCTTATTTTTGTCATGCTGAAAATGATGCTGGTTTGGATCCTATTCCAAGTAAATATTTAGAAAATTTGGTTCCAATAAATATGGAGAAGGGAATTTCTTATGGTGTTGACGGTGTTAAAAAACCTTCAACTGCCGGCGAACATTTAATGTATAGATTGGTTTCTACTTATCAATATTAAAAAATAAATTTTTTTTTACGAATAAAATGAAATTGTTTGGTACAACATCAATGTTGATATTGTGAAACGTATAAAAAAAATTAATATAAAAAAAGTTCCATCCTCCCAGATCGTTCTCATTTTTTTTCAACTTATTTTTGTATTAAAATGGGAGGAACCCAAAGTACAGCAGCTAAGGGATATGGGTACCATGTATTACGGGTAACCTTTATTTATTAAAATTTATCATTTATTTTGAAATTTGAAATTTTGTACTAATTTATTAAATGATAGGTACAAGAGAATTCTCCCGCTCATGCTGTAGGCATAGAACCATTTTTTGATTATATCGTTGGAATTAATGGAGTTCAATTGGTACTTTTTTTTTTGCATTCGTTTTTTGTCGTGGAAGAATTTCAAAATATTAACATTAATATCTTAGGTTATTGATGGTTCATATTTTCAAGAACAATTGCTTTTAAATATTGAAAAAGAAGTCATCCTATTGATTTATTCTACAAAAGAACAGGAATTTAGAGGTGTGCTGATAGTTTGATTATAGGAAGTAATTGTTGCTTTATTGCATCGTTTGAATTGATCATAATTTGTTATTATTTGATAAAAAGAGGTTTCACTAATTCCTAATAGAGTTTGGTCGAGTAATCCTAAAGATGGATTAATTGGTGAGAATTTTTTTTTAAGATATATATAGGTATATATATGTTTTTTTTAAAAAAAAAGAAAAAAAAAAAATTTTGGAAAATTTTTAGTTGACTATTCTTAACTATGTGATTGAGAATAGGTTGTAGTATTCGATATTGTTCATATGAGGTTCGTTGAAATTCGAAATTAAATAACCGATTGAATCTTTTATTTCAATAATGTTTGATTGGATAATTTTTTTCAATAGATTCTAACTTTTTTTATCCTTTGAACTATCGTAAAAATATTTTTATAGAGCATGAACGAGCATGTGTGGCATATATTGGACATTGCGGCGGATAGTCCGGCGGAAATGGCTGGTTTGGTATGAAAATTTGATCAATTTTTTTTTTCTCCTCCATTCTCTCACGAGTATTAAATCTTTTTTTCGTATACCCTTTTTTATTAAAGGTCCCACTGACAGATTATGTGATTGGAACACCGCATGCTACTCTACGTAGTGAAACAGATTTTTATGATTTAATTGAAGGATATTTGGAGAAACCACTTCGACTTTATGTATATAATGCTGATTTTGATGTTTGTAGAGAGGTATTTTGATAGCAAAATTTCAAGAATTTCAGAAAGCGGTATAATTGGTCTAAGAATATATATATATATATACTAATCCTTTGTTTCTACTTGTCAAAAGGTTATAATTGTTCCAAATCATGAATGGGGTGGTGAAGGATCCTTGGGTTGTGGAGTTGGTTATGGGTAAGCATTTATATGCATTTCACATTTGCCCAACGAATACTTTACTATTTTTTTTATTTTTGAAATTTCATAGGTATCTTCACAGAATCCCCAAAACGAACAAATTCAAATCACATGAAAAAGAATTTACATTATCGTGGGATGCTTTACCTCAAGAGACACGGATAGAACCTGCTACCGCCACCGATTTAACCGATTATCAACAATATAATCCCGAAAATGATACTATAACTCCAACTTTATATCATGTTGAAAGTAATAACAATAATCAAAATGCTGAATTGTTTACTCCCGCAAATCTTCAACCAATAATGATGAATATTGAAAGTGTGAGTAATGAAAGTGAGAACATAATAACATCAAAAAAAGAAGGGATCAATGAAAGAGAGATCGAGGAAGCTTTTGAAGAAAAGGTTATTATTAATGAAAAACATGAAAAGCAAGGAAAACAAGATTAATAATGGTAATAATATACAAAATACGATAAAATATATTTTTAAATTTAGATTTTTTTTTTTCGTCCCCAAAGATACGGAGACTTTTTGAAAAATTATTTTAAAATAGTTGGCTAGAACAATATTTAATATAGTAGTTTAATAAACTTAGTAATTTTTTAGTAATAAATTTATATTTCGTATATTAAATTAGTAATATTTCAGTATTTTATACAAAAAAAAAAAAAAGAAAAAAAAAATAATTAAAATAAACCACTATAATAAAGATTTAATCCAAACAGTCAAAACAAATTTTAAAAAAGGTTTAAACGCAAACGAGAGCTATTTTCAATTGCACTTTGAAAGTAATGTTCGTTATTTGATTTGTTAAAATGATATAATATATATACACAAATAATATGTATATATTATATATATGTATAATCATAGTAGATGAAACATTTTTTAGGGAAAGGAAATACTTTTAATTAATCCTCCCATTCCCAAACCTGTTTAATCCATAACTTCAAATTTACACGTCTTTGTGATGACAATTGGATAAATGGATGATCGAGCATTTGTTTAGGTGTAGGACGTAACTCTCCATCCTTTTCCAAACTATTTAAAAAATATAAAGATGACCGTTTAGAACAAAGTGAATAAAATGAACTTTACTATTATATTACGAAAAATTTTACCAAATTTTTAAGAAATCTTTAAGTTCTTCACTCCATTCATAATCCTCATCAAGTGTGGGAGCAGGCATGTTCGCAATATGCGCAACTAATTCAATCGGTGACAATATAGAAGGAAATGGAAATTTATTTTGTGCAACTTCCATTATCGTTAATCCCAAAGACCATACGTCAGCAGATACCTTATATGGCAAACCTCGAATTCGTTCAGGCTACATATTCAATTAATTTAACGTAAGCTGGCTGAGCCATCAAAAGCCTACATTATGTAAAAAAAATTTCAATAAATCAAATAGCATTAACCACTTACGGCCATATAATAACTAGTTCCCAAAAAAGTTTCTGCCATTGATGCGACTAATTTACCCGAGACACCAAAATCGCAAATTTTTATTTCTCCCCTTCTGGTTACTAAGATATTTGACGGTTTTATATCTAAAAAAAAGAATAAAGATGATATTTAATTAGTTGCTACTAATGATATAATAAAATTATGTAACAGCTCTAACCTCTATGAATGATTTGTTTGCTATAGAGGTATACCAATCCTTTAAGAACCTATTACAATCATATATAATAAAATCGTAAATTAAAATAAAATATAACGTGTAATATTTATATAATAATAAAACTTACTGATTCGCCAATTTTCCCAAGAATTACTTCTCCGATCCTTCCTTCTCTTTTGTTCACATTTTTGTAAATGGCATCTAAACTACCGCCCTCACAATATTCCATGTAAATCGCAATTGATGAATTGCTATCTTCCAATGAAGCTCCAAAATATGCCACGATATTTGGTGAATGACATGTTCGAAGAAATTGAAGTTCACGAAGAATTTGCCTATGTATATTTGGCTCTGGGTCAACATTAATTTTCTGGAGAAAGGAATAATTTACAATTTTAGTATAAGATAAATATAATGATCAAAATCTAGTTAAAATTTATTCGATCAATGAAAATTATATAATATTAGATAGATCAAATTGATTAAGTTCAAAAATAAATAAAATTAAAATTAAAAAAACCTTTTTTGCCATTATACATCCGTCAATATTATTTTTTACTTTGGTCACTGTACCACCGGCGCCTTCACCCAATCTTTCCAAATCTGAGAAGTGTTCAGGATTAATTTCCACTGAATCCTCACCGTCAGGAACTGCTACGCTTTTAATGGTTTCGTTTTGAAAAAGACATCCGTCTTCTTCAGCTTGTGGCTGTTGGGTTGTTTTTCCCATAGCAGTGATAAGCTCAGTAGTCAAGCGCTGTTGCTGCTGCGTCGCACTGGAACCATTCGAAGAATTTGGGGCAGGGACAATAAGTGGTGAAAGGGATGACGGAGCTGAGGAAGAAGGAGTAAGGGAATTTGAAGGGATTTCTAGACGATTTGGGAGATTGTTGCGGGCGTTACGATGCATATGTTTACCACTTCTTACTGACGACATTAGAGTAATAAGTGTCTTATATCGAAAACTCTAAAAAATGTATTTATCTTTGGCGTTATGACCGAGACTATTTGGTCATCAAAGGAAATAAGTTGTTCTAAAACTAATATAAATAAGAGAGCGAAAATTTTATTAAAAAAAAAAAATAAATAAATATTGAACTTAAAATTAGTTTCAAAAAAAGGACACAATATTTATGATAACTTTCTTATACACGCGCTCACACCCTAAAAGTTAAAAAAGTTTCAACAGGGTACACAAAAATTAAATGATAACATTTTTCTAATCATTTATACAATGAGAATTAGTAAAGAAATTCTTTACAGAAAATTCCGAATAACTTTTCCTTTTACTGCGGAATCACCAGATTCAATTTGATATGATTAAGAAAGAAACCTTAAATTTCTAAAAAATCTTTACTATTTTAAGAAATACAGCAATTTTAAAATATTATATTTAATGTGTATATATATATTTTTTTTGTCAGTAAAAAGATAAAACAATTTAGTTTCGTACTTTTTTTTATACTGCAAAGCTCATATAGTTGATTTTTTTATATTAATATACTGTTTAAACTTTTTAAAATCAAATTCTATACTTGAATTATAAATTTTTACTATATTAACTAAATGATTATATTTTTAAATAATTAAATAAAATAACTAAATTTTGTTAATTAATAAATTTAAATCATTAATTAAAAAAAAACTGGTTTAATCTAAATTAATAATTTATTAAATTTAACATATAATTTAATTTTTAATAGTTTAAATAAATTAGACTTATATATTATTTAAATATAATTAATTATTAATTTTTATATATAAAAACTAAAGTTAATTAATTTTAATTGTTTAAAATAATTACATTTACAATTCTAATAAAAAAAATGATATTAAAAATTAGTGATTATTTTACCTGATTTTATTAAAATTTCAAAAGTCTATTATACAACCAGTGGACATATTAATATATTAATATATTAATATATCTACTTAGTTTGGATTAATATGTAATAGGACATTATAATATAATGTACCTATATAGACTAATATGTAATAAGAACATTATAGTCTTTTTTGTTACATTTTAGTTAACTAAAATATATTGTACCTTTGTAAACTATAATGTATTAGAATAGACCACTAAAAAAATCATGTTAGATAATACAGTATATTTTGCGGTAAAATTTCAGTTAATTTTGGCTAGCTTTATAACATAATTCTGGCTAAATTTATGATACATGATTTAAAGATCCAACTCAGCGTCATGCCAATATCATAGTAGTATCATAGCAATATCATAGAGCTGGTGAGGAACTGGCAAAATACTGATAAGGAGTTAGAATGGTTTTATTAATTTATCAGTTTTAACTGAAGAATCAGATAAATGAAGAATCAAAAGTACTAAGATTGACCTATGTAATTATCAGGAATTAATGCTAAACTTACTTGTAATTTTACTTTTATATTCCTATTTGATTGCTGTGTTGAAGCACAGAATGCTAAACTTGCAATCCATATATTTTTCTTTTGATTGCTATTTCTTGATTACTAGATTAAGACATAAAGTGCTGAACTTGTAATCCATATTTATTTCTCTTTTAATTGCCAGAGATGTACCTTATATTTGCAATCCTGCCATTTGTCAAAGGTGTAGCGTAATCTATTTACCATTTTTGATTACTAGGTGAGACACACAAAATTCTAATATTATGTTATTCTTACAATCCTATCTTTTATGACCTATTTGATTGTTAAACTTGTAACATGAAGTGCTGAATCAGTTCAGAATACCATTTTCATATCCATTTTCTCATATTTTCCTGAGTTTTTTTGCCTTCCTGTTCTCTTTTTTGCCTATTACTAGTAGACTATTCAAGTATTTCTTTCCTATATATAATTCTGTTTGAGTGGTCAACCAAATCTACATCTTATTTTATGCTCTGCCTTTCTATTCTATAGTTGCTATTTTGGGATATTATTACATCAATTGCTTTAAAGTATTATTTAATATATTTATTTCATATTCGCAATAGTAATTGGATCAGAAGCTAAAATAGCTTTATGCATTTTTATTTCATTTCTAAGATATACATTACATTATTAATTTTAAAGATTACAGTTTTCTATATAATTTTATACTGATTTCTTACATATACTTCTATGCTATTTGCATAAAAAAAATTCGAACCCAATCTCGAAAAAATAAATGAAGCTATAAGGTTTTTTTCAAGTATAGCAGACCTTAATTTTAAGTTGGGCTATAATAATCATACATATTTTCAACATTTATTGGCATCTAATACTAAAGAGAATTTGGCCCTTTTAGAAGTCTATCATGTTAAAGAAATTGTTTTCAAATATATCATTCAGGTAAGGGCAGTGACATATATTACCTAATATTTTAGGAGGTAGGGGTAACAGAAATCTTAGATTACACATAATATTATTGGTCATGTGATACAGGTGGCTTATATTTATACTTAATACTGTAATATTGTATTTGATATTTATTTATAATAGACTATACTATATATACATGCATGTATAAATGCTATAACTGACTATATGCATTCTTCATCTGATATATGATGCATAACATCTATACTCATCAAAAATTTAACCTAAATTCAAATTGTATCTAATTTTTTAATTTTAATGTTATTGAAAAAATAATCTGATTTTTTTATAGTTTAGGTTATGATCTTTTAAAAAATCAGGTTACATTTTGAATTGAATAATTATTTAAAAAGTTATCGGGATTTAAAAGTTGGATATATTATTAGTAATTAGCCGATTTCAGACTGACTTTATATGGGTATTTACAGGGGTATATTTGCAATCTGACCAATAAAAATGCGTAAAATTATCACATGATAATTTCTTTTGATTGCTGCATTACATAATTTAGCAGGTCTAAAAAATTCATGTTCTTATACTTTCCAGTAGTTAAATTATACTTTTTTATGATCAATGAATATTAGTATAATATATTTAATTAAATAAACTATGGTAAATATTGGTTATAAAGGTTATAAAAAAATTCATAAATACATAAAATATATGACTTCAGAAATTCTCTTTCTAAATCCATAGAATTTTTGCCAATATTAATAAAGATGGTCAAAATGTGTGATTGCAAATTATATTCATATTCGCATTGTACCTAAAAATGTGATAATAACCACATTTTAAAACATTAAAATTAATAAAATTAATTACGCATTTTACATTAAATCATTATCTTGAACACGTTTAAATTTTTTTATTGTATTAAAAATGCCACTTCTTTCTAAGCAAAAAAGAAAATCAAAAAACTAAAAATGCACTATAGATGACAAATTTGATACTAAAAAAGTATGATATCCAAGTACAGATGATCAAAATCAACCTGAATCCTCAATTCTAATTAACAACAATTGTAAAAAAATGCTGGTTGTTATGACATAGTTACTGCAGTTACTGTGTCTCATAATAATAGTGGTTCATTTGGTCCTTTTGAAAACACTGGTTCATTTGGTTCTTATGATGGTGGTTTATTTAATTCTTATGGTGATGGTGGTTCATTTGGTCTTTATGGTAATGGTAGTTTGTTTGGTCCTTATAGTTATGATAGTTCGCCTGGTCCTTATGGTGATGGTGGTTCGATTGGTACTTTTGGTGATGGTGGTTTATTTGATGCTTCTAGTGATGGTGATTCGTCTAGTCCTTCTGATGATGGTGATACGTTTAATTCTTATGGTAATAGTGGTTCATCTGGTGCTTCTGGTAATAGTGATTCATCTAATCCTTATAGTGATTGTGATTCAGCTAATCCTTTTGATAATGGTGATTTGTTTGGTACTTCTGGTGATGGTAAGATTGCGGATGAAAGTAATATTAGTATAGATTTGGAATTATTTGATATGAAAGAATTTGGTGAAGAAGAATAGGGTGATGATAAAGATAGTGGTTAGGATGATGACGATGAAGATGATATTTCCGAAGAGATACAAAACCTAAAAAATAAAGAACTTAAATTAGTGTAAAAGGAAGAAAGTGAATTAGAAAAAATAAAACGTAGTCGGTATATGACAGGAAAGACTTCAAGATCAAGTTATTATGAAAAATATGGACCAACCGGTTCATTTACCAAGACAGCTGTTAATACTAAAAAAATTACAAGTTTTTTTAAAGTTGGTAATCAAGTTACAATTATATGACCTGACGAAATAAAGCAAATTTCAAGTAATTCAGAAGATGAAATCATCAATAAAGATACTTACCAAATTGATAAAAAAATATGAAGTCTAAAAGAACAATTAGAAAAGCAACATACAATACAGTCAAACCTCTATATAACGATATGTCAGAACATATAGAAATTGTTTTTAAAAATATCGTTATATCAAATTATACCAATATTTATATGACCTCAAGTATAGTGAGTAAATAATATTTTATCAGTATATAAAGTTTTTAATAGTATATTAGTATATAGAATATCGGTATATAGAGGTTCGACTGTAATAAAATGATCATTACCAAATATAATAAAAAAAAGTTATCTATGAATATCTTACCCGCTTAAATAATGGAAAAATGCATGCTAGTTTAGAGGTAGCTAAAATCATTTTTATTGATAGTGGTCTATAGAAAGTGTGACGTATCCAATCCCTATAAGAAATCAAAATAAGGAAATGATACGTTTTTTTTAAGGTTTGTATACGTAATTAATGATTCTATATCAAAATTCCGTATGTTTTA